TGAATCTTCTGCAGAACGTGGAATAATACGCCACCATATGTTTTGTCTTTTGTGCATTTGGTGAGTAGAGGCCCTTAGGGCCACTGCACGTATTCCTAAGAAAAGAAAAACGAGAGAAGAAAAGAAAAACGAGAGAAGAAAAGAAAAACGAGAAAAGGAAAGCAAAACGAGAAAACACAGAAATAGTGACCCATAACCGAGATGCACAGGCCTGAATTTGAATATAGACTATATATTCTCTGCCCACGCTCACAAAGTACACGTTTGAGTTGCACCTCTGCATGACGTAGGGTCCCAGCTAATACGCTGGAGGGATCCTTCGGAAAAGAGGCTGGACACAATGAGGACATTAATACTCAGATGTACAAACCCCCTCGTAGACTTTCCGGGCCGTCTGGATCGTCGGTGAGGGTGGTAAAAAATAAGGCACTATTTTTTTGGGGTGGCCCAGGGCGTGAACAAACACCCTGGACCACCCAAAATTTTTTTGGCCATTGGGCTGGGACCCTCACATCTGGACCAAGATCCGGACCCGGACCCCGGACCATGGACCACGGACGGTCCGGATCCCTGTCCGGTGGTCCGGATCGTAGCTATGGTTAAGTGTCTGTCTCTCCCAATGCCACATATTTCAAGCAAGTGACATATTGGGACGGAAATCCATATTTCAAGCTGGAAAATACGCAGATAGGGCACAGTGAAAACGTGTTGCAAATTGTCCTTCGGGACATCCGTTAAAATTGGAATGATACAGAGAAGATTAGCATGGCCCCTGCGCAAGGATGACACACAAAAATCGAGAAAACGTGTTGCAAATTTGCAACAAGTAGGCCGGTGAACACTCACCTGTTGTTAGAGTAAGGCCAGATTCATAATCTGCACCTGGCGGTCTGTGTAGTGTAAGTGCCTTCAGAGCAATGCATTCCTGTCACTATGTGTAAGTCAGCGGCTAAATAAAAGGCATACTGCCAATACCGCTATTTTGGACGAATTTAGAAGGCCGCAGAAGAAACTGCTTGTTGGAAACTATGAGCGCACCTGTGATGATCTAATGCACCACAGGTCAGTGCTGTTCAGCTTATCACAGTCATTTTTTCTTGTTTTTTTTTAAACAGGGAGGTTGATGCATGCTCATCTGAAGATGAGCGGTGCAGATGTCCAAGGAGCACCAGTGCGATGAACAGGACTCAAATCAAAACGAGATAATGCAATGTAGTGCAGCGGAAGACTCAAAGATATGACCTGACACATCAGATCCAGACTCGACTCACACAATCATCATCACACACGTCACACCGCAAGGAGGGAAATCATACACAGAAGAAAGATTCCTCGTTGCGCACACACATGGGGAGAAACCGCGGATGATGAAGGGGTAGGAGAGACGAAGATGGAGAGGGGAAACAGGACAAGAGTAGAACTCGTAAGTCTCCCCGTCAAATGTCCAACCAATGTCTGTCCTCAAAAATGTCGAATCAGATTCTGGGCTCCATGGCCCGAAATAGTCACTGCCTGAAATCTTTCACTCTCTCTCTGAAAAGGAAGAATAAAAGAGGGAGGAGAAGGAGGAGAAAAAGAACATTGGCTATGGAAGAGTGGAGAAGAATCAGGAGAAGAAGGAGAAGAAGAAGAAGAATTCTCCTTTCTCATGCGCTCCTGATGACGATGCCGTGAATACTGATCAGCGAAGGTGATGACTCCTGATGCAGGTCGCTGCTAAAGGCCGGTCCCATGACCGGTATGCAGACCCAGCTATGGCGCCCAGGTAAGTCTCTCTTTTCCTCGTGGACATGGCCTCTGCCTAACCTCTCCACTCCAGCCTACTCCTCTAATCCTCCAGCGCTGCTCTATAGCAGCTCTCCCGAAACTGGCACTGCTCCAGCAGCGTGACGCCCAAAGGAGGCTCCAGCCCGAATGTCCTCAAAGTGGAGGACTGGCCCAGCTATATACCGCTGGGCCTGGCTGAGCAGTCCTCGGTCTGTGATCAGTACCGTTGGATCTGATGTCCGATCGATGGTCCTGATCGCAGGCCCCAGTGCTGGTCCTACAATCCTGGCCAAAAACGGCCTGCCTGGGTCCTTACCGGACGTCCAGGCAATCCTGCTGATGCAGCAGGGTCCTGAGGACTGGGCCAGGCAGAAACAGACAAATGCCTGGTCCAGTCCCACATATGGCCAAATCTGAACCTGGTCTACAAAGGCGGAAACTGAATCACGCAACAAAAATAATAAATGCTGGGGGCCTGGCCTGGAATATGGCCGTGGGCCTCCAGGTCGCTCACCAAAAATGGGTGTGCGGCCTGGGGGCCTGGAACAACCATCGGGTCCCAAAACAGGGCCCCTGTAGCGGCCTCCGCATGCGGCAGAGGTCTTCAACATGATTGATTTGACAAACAGATTTGAATTCTTTACCTGCAGTCTAGCCGCGTTTACTCCCCCCCCTGTGCACGTTGCTCCCTGTTGCATCACCTGTCCCATGCAAACTTCCCCATTGTAGATCTAGCCACTGTCGAGCCCTGCCTGTATTGCCAAGGGGAGTGATTCTTAGGGAAATGAGTTGACAAACTCAGAAACCGGTGGACGCAGGCCAGATTCCAGAGCTGCGTTTCCTTCATTATCCTTCACCTTCAGATGAGGAATGGAATCCGCCATCTCCACAATTGGTTAAACCACTACTGTCCTCACCCGAATAGAACGCCAGGTCATTATCGAAATACGTCTGTAATGACCGGGCGTTCTATTCGGGTGAAGACGGTAGTACGTGGCCCCAGCCTCGCAGTCCGAAACTTGTGGCCACGAGAAAACAAGGCCGAAACGTCAAACGCTGGGCCCTGCCGATGATAAATTCGATCGGTGGTCGTTTTTTCGTTTTGCGCCTCCTGAATTTGAGGTGTCAGGCCCGTGGCCCAGGTGCCCATGTACTCGTGCGTTAATTGTATTGCTGCTTTTGATGAAGGACCAAGTCCCAGCGACTGTTTGATTTTTTTCCCTGTGGTTCTGCAGGGAGTTTTTTCTGGGCTCCTGTGTGAATTCCTCTTTTCATCTTGGACCAGTTCTTGAGTTGTGCACGGCATCCTTGCACATGGCCCATGCTAATCTTTTCTGTGTTGTTTTAATGATGTTGTTGTGTCGTGCTCCTTCCATTGCTCCCATAATGCTCGTCCTTTTGGCAAATGTTCCTCTTCTTCACTCTCGGTTGCTCTGGTGCTTTGTTGGCTGTACCTGCGTTCTTGGTGATGCGATACTTTCAGGTTTTGGGGATTGATATTTGCCCACATCACACTTCAAAAGAGAGGTAGCTGTGTCTAGTGATTTCTCTGTGGTCATCTGATAGAGCTGATCGTCTCCCTGGGTGATCAAATAAGATACTTCATTGTCATGTTGAGAGTGTGAGAGTGAGAAGTTAACTTTCCGACTCTCATTCTTTTGTTCCATGATTCGACCGTATATTATGGTGGATGTGGTGGTGGTTTGTCGTGGTCATTTTGAAGGTACCTTCATCAAGGCATTCCAGGACGCCAATTTTCTTGTTTGCAACAGCTGGTACGTCAGTGCAGTGAATAAGAACCCGCAGAAGGTGTGTGTGTGTGTGTGTGTGTGTGTGTGTGTGTGTGTG